AAATATATGTGTTGTTTTGGCACTTAGCGCCTATCTGGTCATGCTCTAGCTGTAAAACTAACAATAAAAATAGAATGGTGAAAAATACAGGACATGAAAAAAAAAGTAAAGCAGACATTTATAGGAGACTCCAAGGCTATTTCCATAGAATTTTAAAGCAGAAACATCTTCACACCTTTTGAAAAGGCGGCAACATCTCTGAAGTGAGAAAGCATTCAAGCGCTAAGGAACTGAGAGTCTTTGGATCCAACATATGGCCTCCATCCTGTGTTTGAATGTGAGCAGGAGGATTGAATCCACGTGGATTTTCAGTAACATCAACAAACCCCATGCAGGCATGAAGGTTTGCCCACACACATAAAGATGTGGAGATGGGACAAAGCAGGAAAAAATACTATAATGGATTGGATGCCAAAAGCTTTTGGTTGCCCGATGCACCAGGCTGCATGTTATACCTTCCTAAATGTCTAGTGATTACTTCCTCTCATGTGTGTATATATATATATCTGTGCTATGAATAATTCCTTCCCCTAGGATATTACATTTCTCACTTAAAAGTGCCAGAAAAAGCTATTTCTGTGACACTATTTGAGAATAATTAACTTGGTTTCAACATTTTTGTCCAAACATAACAACGAACTATTCACTGTTAGTTACTAATGGACATTAGAGCCTTGATATTCTTCTCTTCTACACTACTTTAGCTTGAATTATCTCAGGTTGTACAATGCTAAGAGAAGAAGAGTTATCAGACCTTACAGACCATCATTCAACAGACAATTCAAGCCCTAGCATGATTTAGAGTTCCTGTAGGACAGCTCTGTGTTATGCCAGGTAATAAGAGCTCAGAGACTGCAGAAGCAGCAAGACAGAAAATGAAGAGCAACTGTATGTACTCCAAATACACCCCTAGCCCTCAATGCCAGGAGATGCCACATCAGATGCTCAATACACAGTGGAATTCCTTGATAGACGGGGATTTTTTAATACCAGCTTAGTCGCTCATGACACATGATTTATGATCCCTGTGTGCTGCCAAACAGGCCAAAGAAGTTACATCATAAAAGGGATCTGCCCCTACGTGACTTGAGGATGATGGCAAAGGATGAAAATACTTCCAAATAATAAAGGAGCTGTAGGGCTTGCATGAATTTCATCCATATTAGTTCCCACAAGCCAAAACAGTAAGAGGTAATATATCAATTCATAGGAAGCCACAAAGATGTTGAACATGCAGATTTTATACAGCATTTTGTTGATGGATTAACAGAAAATGTACACAGAAATCTTCTCAATCAATAGCCATGACAGTAGCATTTTCTTATTTAAATGAAGTATCCTGCAAGGGTTTGAAAACAGCATCCTCATTTTTTTCTTGAAATTGATTGTTAATATTTAGAATCACAAACAAATTGCTAATGGTTTATACAAATGACTATGCAAGCAAAGGTGGCAGCCATTATGGGATCAACAACATTCCACCTGAAAACACTAATGCTAATTAATTTTTGGTGATCTTATTACCCAGGAAGGAAATTTTGGACATCACACCAACAACTACTATCCTCTTTCTATATAAACAGTATAATCCCTGTGCCATGATTATCTGCATCTTCAAAGGAACAACAACCAGAGAGGTCTTATTTCAGCATTCTATCTACAGGACATCTCCACTTCCACTACCCTGTGTTCCTTCTATGCTGTAGTATCATTAAAAGGAACAAAAGTCAGAATACAAATCACGACTATTTTTTCTCAAAGACTACAACTCAAAGGAATAAATATGCATCATGACTTTGAAGGAAAGAGAGGGTTTTCATTTCTTTCTAAAGGATAGAAATTGTTTCCATGGTCCTTCAATCTGTTCTTATTTCTCATTTGCATCTGCACAAAGAAACTAGATTCTCCTTTCAGACAAGCAATTTCAAGTAGCAAAAGCCTTAATTCAGTATGCCAAGAAAACAAAAATATTCAGTTTACGAAGTTCACAGAGAAATTATTTCCCAAACACAAGGGCCAGTAATTAAAAAAATAATATATATTCCTAAATCTCAGTATCATTTCTTCCAAACCAAGCAATCTATCATAGATACATGTAACTGACTGATAAAAAATGTTAGGTATAAAATATTTTGAAAATATATATGCCTCTTTTTAATAGATGAAATTACTTTCCATATACTAAGTCTCACAGAAATTCATGCATGAGTGACACCAAAAAGCCAATTGTGTAACTTCATTATTTATTTTAAATAAGAAACACAGCATAAGTGCTACATTCAGCATAATTTATATTTAAATGTCATGTAAAAACATAGCAAAAGACAATGTGACATAACATTGAACCTATGTTTAATAAATAAGTTTACTAATACCGATAAACTAACTTAAGAGTCCATCAATTCAGTGACTGACATCATCCCTTTGAACAGCAGCCCTTAATAGGCCCTAATCCAAATAACCACTGGAATTAGTAGGAGGGCCATCGCAGGTTTAAATAGATAAATAAATAAACACTGAATCAAGCGTTTGCTAATGTTCAGGAAAGATCCATGCACTGAAGACCAGTCTCGTATGCTCACTGCTGAAACAACTGACTTAATAAGAAAGAAAAAAAGAAAAAAGAAAAAAATAATACTACCATACTCCCTAATTCACATTCCTGTAATTTGCAGCAGTGTGCTCAACTAGTGGGTTTTTTAAGTAACATGTTGAATGAATGACCAGTGCTGAAGTGCTAAAAATACACAGTTTCTGGAATCCGGTGTTGAGGCGAACCTTAACAGGCTTCATTACACCTTCTCTTACTTACACTGCTATCCAGACATCCCAGCTAGATAATATGCTACAAAACATGGTGTAAAAAGGATGACAGAAGAAAGATACAAAGCATTAGTGCCAGTCAGGTTATCTACAGATCTTAATCCTTTTTACCAAGATGACAAATACTAAGAATTCCTGAAAAAAAAACCAAAAATCCCTAGAAAAAAAAAAAAAGATTAAAAAAAAAAAAAAAGAAAGGCTAAAGCATGCACACATCCTCTGTGTGGGTAAAATTAATTATTGGAAACCATAGCTTTAACCATACAGCAAAAGCATCCCACCATTCACTTATTCACTTTGTTCCCCCAAAAAAGAACAAAAAAAAAAAAAAAAACCCACAGAGATGGATGTCAGTCTCTTCTTAGTGCTAGAGGGAGATGGAGAGCGACGAGAGCCCCTGCAGGACTGATCCCACTATCGGTTAGAGAAGCCTGGGATCCCATGTCTGAAGATGAAGGAAGGAGGGGGGGAGATAGGGAAGCACTGGCAGCTAAATGCGTGGCATAAGGACCTGCACAGAATGGGACAGCTTCTTTCTGTCTCAGGATATTACTGTCAGAACGGCCAAGAAAGCAATGAGCTTCATTTTTTCCACTCTCACTGTGGTACTTTAAGAAGTGCCTAATTTGAAGAGAACTGGACAGGTGGCATATCATGCTGAGCTAAATAGATAAGTGTGAGATTTAAATGACAAGAGGCAGCAGGTTTTGCTGTTCTAAAGAGCGACGGAGTGAATTATTCTGATGGTACCAATGGGCACAAGTGGAAGGTCAGCCTGGGGTGCTGCCAGTGTCACCCGGGTGCCTGGTAGCAGATGGTGCCAGTCTGTAGGGATAAAAGAAGGGCGGACGTACCCCGTGGGCCAACAGCAACACTATTTGCTCAGGAATAAAAAAGTTTGGGGGCAGGTGCAGGCAATACAAATTAACATAGATGCTGCCACCCCAAATGTTAGTGTAAGCGTCACCAGTCCAAGGGCTGTAAGGGTGATCAGTCAGAAAGTGCTGCAGAAAGCGCAGTGGGGGCTGGCACTGCCAGAGCGAGATGCTGCAGGTGCTGCTGCCTGGGGGCTGCGGCTGGGAGACGGCCCAGGCCAATCTCTGCACGGTCCCAAGGGAGCTTTTGGAGCTCCCTCTCCCTAAGCACCTCCAGGCTGGACACTGAGATGTCCACCAGGGCCCCAGACCCCCCCCCCCCCCCCGGCAGTGCCTTGCCTGTGTTGCTTATGTTCCCTTTTCCGGACTTATGCAATGACTCGAGGGTAGAAGCAGCCCGCAGAGAAGTGGAACAGCAGGAGATGCAGGCAGCCTGGATCCCTGTGGGGCTCCCTGAAGTGTCCCAAACTAGAAAACTGGCCACCTCCCCACTCCTGCCTCCTGCAACATAATTATTCCAGCATGACTGACATGACAAATTAACAAGGCAGCCAGGGCTTTTGCAGCAGAAGGGAGTGTTTTCCCCAAGAATAAATTGTTCCAATCCTTTACGCTAGACACCCGGCCGTGCCTATTCATTAATTGGACAAGCTCTGGTGACAACTGAAATCACCCGACTTCTACATACTGGAGGGGAGAGAGATCTTTGCAAGCTTAAATGAGAAGCCTAAAGCTGGAATCCCAGCCACCAAGGAGTTCTTTGAATGGGGCTATTTTTTTTTTTTAAATTCATTTTCAGAGCACGGCCACAGTAAAGCTCCTTTTAAAAGCAGAGGCACGTTCTTCAGTGTTATTCCTCCCTTTGCAGACCCTGAACTGTGGCACCAGAACATGACAACTCCACCAATGAATCGCAGACCTTTTAAGATCTGCAGATCAGCCGAGTTTAAGAACTTCAGGAGCTATGAAATTCTGGGATTACTGCAATGTTGTGATTGATTATCACAATCAGGTACATTAGGAATTATAAGCATCTGCTTAATCAGTACACTGTGGTTATTTATTGCAACCAATGTATCATAATTCCTACACAGGTATTGGAATTAAGGTGGGGGGAGGAATTGACGTTTGTTGATTTCTGTTACAACCCACTCACGATACATCATTCATGTATTTTTCAACTGCTATTTCGATTTGGGTTTAACTGTACCTCTTGCCCCTTATTAAGGGGAAGCCAGGGAACCCTGTACGGTATTTCTTTCTCCCTGCGCCCCCGCCGCCCTTTCTGTGCTAGCTGCGTACCTGAAATGCAGACGATGAAATTCGCTTGCAGAAGAAAAAGCACCTCCCAAACAATTTCCATCCTCCGATTCTCATGCCAAGTGCATCCCTCGGCGAAAAAAAATAACAAAGATCAATATCGCAGTTTGAACGATCCCAGCAAATTTCCTTTCGGACTTGCAGACTGTATTCCCCAGATGTGCTGACAACACATGTCCGAGCTCTCTCTCTGCACGGCTCAAGCGAGATCCCTTCCCTTCCTTCACCCTCCAAAAAAGACCACGAAGCCAACTGCCAGCACCGGGCTCTTCCTCCACGAGTGAGAAAAAAATCCACCAGATTTCCCAACAAGACATAGACAACAAACCCCAACTGATCCGGTCCGGAGAGTCTCTATTCCAGGGCGGCCAGGTGCAAGTTAACCCCAAACTCTGCACGTCTCAGCGGGGCAGTGCCAGCATGCCGGGGGAGAGGGAGGCGGTGGAGGGAGGGGGTTTCCTCTCCTGCTGCTACAAAATGAGCGGAAAGAGATTAATACCCGCTGCAACGCGTTCGCCAACCCCCCACCCACACCCCCCCCTCCCTCAACCCCGCATGCTACCGCACCTCCACGGCGCGGAGCACGTAGCAGCCGGCTCCCTCCAGCCCTGCCGGGGTTTCTGCAGTCCCCGGCGAGCCGAGGCGGCTTTCCGCCAGGCGACTGCAGGGGTCGTTCTTGCCCCGTACACGGAGCTGCCCTTCCCCGGCCGGGATGGCCCCGCAGCCGCCTCCCCGCGACCCCCCCCCGCGGCCGCGGCCCCACACCCGCGCCGCTCCGGCCCCGCAGCTCGGCGGCACGACAGGGGGAAAACGCCCCGGGAAGGGGAGGCTGGGGGGGGGGGGGGGGGGGGGGGTTATTTATTGGGGGCGGTGGGGGG